GCAGCAGCAGCCGGGCCGGCGCGCGGGTCCAGCGGCGCGAGCGCGTCCAGCAGCAGCCGCCGCCTCCGGCGCAGCAGCTCCAGGCGCCGCCGCCGCTGCCGCCGCAGCCGCCGCCGCCACAGCGCCCGGCCCGCGCCCGCGCGCCGCCAGCCGCGCGCCCCCCGCCGCCGGCTCCACCCCCCGGGGGGCGGGGCGGGGCCGCGGCGCGCGCGCGGCCACGGCCGCCCGGCGCGCGCCCGCCGCTCCCCGCCGCGCCGCCGCCCGCCCCGCGCGCCCGCCTCGGCGCTCCGGCTAATGGTGCGCGACCCCCGGCGCCCGCGCGCGCCTCCTGCCCGCGCGCGCGCCCGGCGCGGCCCGTCGCGGCTCCGCGCCCGGCCGCCGTCACCGGTCCGTCACAAATCCGGGCACGCCGCGGGCAGGTGGCCCCCCGCCCCGAGGCCGCCGCGCGGTCCCCGCCGCCGCGCGCTCCCGCTCGCCTTCCTGCTCACCTTTAGTAGCTGTTAGATGGGGGATGGGGGGTCCCAGAGGTCTCTCCGGCTCTGTGCTCAGGGCCCTTTGCTTAGGGGCCACTCCCGGCTCTGTGCTCCGGGTGGTCATTCCCGGCTCTGTGCTCGGGGTGCTCATTCCCGGCTCTGCGCTCGGGGGTCACTCCTGGCTCTGTGCTCGGGGTGCTCATTCCCGGCTCTGCGCTCGGGGGTCACTCCTGGCTCTGTGCTCGGGGTGCTCATTCCCGGCTCTGCGCTCGGGGTGCTCATTCCCGGCTCTGCGCTCGGGGGTCACTCCTGGCTCTGTGCTCGGGGTGGTCATTCCCGGCTTTGCGCTCAGGGGTCACTCCTGGCTCTGTGCTTGGGACTCACTCCTGGCTCTGCGTTCGGGACTCACTCCCGGCTCTGTGCTCCGGGTGGTCATTCCTGGCTCTGCGCTCGGGGTGCTCATTCCCGGCTCTGCGCTCGGGGTGCTCATTCCCGGCTCTGCGCTCGGGGGTCACTCCTGGCTCTGTGCTCGGGGTGGTCATTCCCGGCTCTGCGTTCGGGACTCACTCCCGGCTCTGTGCTCGGGGTGGTCATTCCCGGCTCTGCGCTCGGGGGTCACTCCTGGCTCTGTGCTCCAGGTGGTCATTCCCGGCTCTGTGCTCGGGGTGGTCATTCCCGGCTCTGCGCTTGGGGGTCATTCCCGGGTCTGCGCTCGGGGGTCACTCCTGGCTCTGCGTTCGGGACTCACTCCCGGCTCTGTGCTCCGGGTGGTCATTCCCGGCTCTGCGCTCGGGGTGCTCATTCCCGGCTCTGCGCTCGGGGTGCTCATTCCCGGCTCTGCGCTCGGGGGTCACTCCCGGCTCTGTGCTCCGGGTGGTCATTCCCGGCTCTGCGCTCGGGGTGCTCATTCCCGGCTCTGCGCTCGGGGTGCTCATTCCCGGCTCTGCGCTCGGGGGTCACTCCTGGCTCTGTGCTCCAGGTGGTCATTCCCGGCTCTGTGCTCGGGGTGGTCATTCCCGGCTCTGCGCTTGGGGGTCATTCCCGGGTCTGCGCTCGGGGGTCACTCCTGGCTCTGCGTTCGGGACTCACTCCCGGCTCTGTGCTCCGGGTGGTCATTCCCGGCTCTGTGCTCGGGGTGGTCATTCCCGGCTCTGCGCTCGGGGGTCACTCCTGGGGGTGCCCGGGACTCACTCCCGGCTCTGTGCTTGGGGTGGTCATTCCCGGCTCTGTGCTCCGGGTGGTCATTCCCGGCTCTGCGCTCGGGGGTCACTCCTGGGGGTGCCCGGGACTCACTCCCGGCTCTGTGCTCCGGGTGGTCATTCCCGGCTCTGTGCTCTGGGTGGTCATTCCCGGCTCTGTGCTCGGGGTGGTCATTCCCGGCTCTGCGCTCGGGGGTCACTCCTGGCTCTGTGCTCAGGGCTCACTCCCGGCTCTGTGCTCGGGGTGGTCATTCCCGGCTCTGCGCTCGGGGGTCACTCCTGGCTCTGTGCTCAGGGATCACTCCCGGCTCTGTGCTAGTTGGTCATTCCCGGCTCTGCACTGGGGGTCACTCCTGGCTCTGTGCTCGGGACTCAGTCCCGGCTTTGTGCTCGGGGTGGTCATTCCCGGCTCTGCGCTCGGGGGTCATTCCCGGGTCTGTGCTCGGGGGTCACTCCTGGCTCTGTGCTCGGGACTCACTCCCGGCTCTGTGCTCGGGGTGGTCATTCCTGGCTCTGCACTCGGGGGTCATTCCCGGCTCTGCGCTCGGGGGTCACTCCTGGCTCTGTGCTCGGAGCTCACTCCCGGCTCTGTGCTCGGGGGTCACTCCCGGCTCTGCGCTCAGGACTCACTCCCGGCTCTGTGTTGGGGGAGGGGGGTCATTCCCGGCTCTGTGCTCAGGGGTCACTCCTGGCTCTTTGCTCAGGGATCACGCCCGGCTCTGTGCTGGGGCTCACTCCAGGCTCTGCGCTCAAGGCTCACTCCTGGGGGTGCTCGGGGCTCACTCCCGGCTCTGTGCTCTGGGGTCACTCCTGGCTCAGCTTTGGGGTCACTCCCAGCTCTACTCAGGGCTCACTCCAGGCTCTGCTCTGGGCTCACTCTTGGCTGTGCGCTCGGGTCACTCCTGGCCTGCGCGGAGGACCCCACGCGCCGCCGGGGATGGATCCCGGATGAGTCGCGTGCCAGGCCAGCGCTCGGCGCACCCCAACCCCCTTCTCTCCCTTTTAATGATTTGTTTGTTTTGTTGGGGGGAGGGTCACACGGGCAGTGCTCAGGGCTGACTCCGGGCTCTGTGCTCCGAGACCTCTCCGGGCGGGGCTGGGGCGGGACCATATGCGGACGGGGGTAGAACCGGCGCCCTCCCGGTGTCCTGTCTCTAAAAGCCGGACGCCCCTCGCCAGCGTGCCCCGCTCTGCTTTAGGCCCGCGCCGCGGAACCGCCTCGCCCCGGACTCGTCTGAAGCAGCTTTCCCAGCGCGATGTTTATCTGTCTCGGAACTCGGCTGAGGGCTGATCAAAGCTGAACCGAATCGTTGGCGCAGCCCAGCCGCGCGCTCCAGGGCCCTCAGAAGTTCAAAGGCGTGATAGGCAGCCCCGAGGGGCGGAGGTGGACGCAGGTGGACGCAGGTGGACGGCGGTCGCTCAGGGCAGGCAGACTGCGGGCTTGCAGGAAGACGAGAAGAGCAAAGCCAGTAACACTCCGAAACCAACCCCCACCCCCGTGTCTAAGGGGCTCTGCGTGGCCAGTCCAGGAACTAGGGGCGTGGGGCAGGCTTCCTTATAAGTGGCGCCGGGGGCGTCCACTGCCTTCCCAATGTCAGGCCCGGCTTTGCGCGTTGGCCACGTGCTTGAACGCAGGAGACTGCCGGCTCTGTGCTTAGGAAGGCTGCCGTGGTGAGTCTGGGTGCCCAGGGCAGCCGGGGCCAGGCACTTAGTCCCCCAGCGCCTCTGGAGCCACGGTGCGGCCAGCGGACAGGTCCTGTGTCTGCCCAGTGCTACCCCAGGCTGGCTAAAGCAAGTTCCAAGCACAGCGCTGTTGGCTGTTTGACGGGTAGTGAGGTTGGGATACCGGAGGGAAGCCGCAGGGAAAGGTTCTCCAGCTCTGCCAACTCCCCACACACTGCTGTGGGCTCCTGGCTAGCTGTGGAGTACCCCTCAATGCCCTTGCCGCTCCCCACGACTAGATGTCCCTGCACTTGCTGAGTGCCAGAGAATTCCCTGTGACAGGCAGGGGTGCCCTTTCCCCCGCGGGTCCTGGGCTCCCCGGCTCATTGCGGGCTCATTGCTCGGAATCTAAGTAGTGGTAAGGGGGAGGCAGGAGGAAGCCAATTTCTGTCCCTCCTCCCTTTTATCTCCCCAGTCATTGGTGGGACCCTCTCCCCCAACACCCTCTCCTTCCCCCTGCCCTCTCCAGGGGGCCGGAGGTGAAGGAGCTTGTTTCTTTGGGGTGCCAGTGTTTGTGGACAACAGGAGCTTGATTCCTGGGCTTATTTTTTTTTGTCTTAAGGCTAAATTTGGGGCCAGAGGAGTAGTACAGAGCGGAGGGTATTTGCCTTGCCCGCCTGAGTTGGATCTCCAGCATCCCATACGGTCCCCTGAGCACTGCCAAGAATAATTCCCGAGGGCAGTCAGGAGTAACCCCTGAGCAATTGCTGGGTGTGGCCCACCCCCACCCCCAAAGGAGGTCTGCGAGTGTATAAGCACTGTAGCACTGTAGCACTGTCTTCCCGTTGTTCATTGAGTTGCTAGAGCGGGCACCAGTAACGTCTCCATTGTGAGACTTGTTACTGTTTGGGGCATACTGAATACGTCACAGGGAGCTTGCCAGGCTCTACCATGCGGGCGGGATACTCTTACAGGGCTCTCCAAGAGGGACGGAGGAATTGAACCCGATTGTACAAACTAAAACAAAAATCAGTCCTGGTTATATCTGTGATCTTTTCCAAAACAGAAGGTAGCACAGAGGCAGGGCACTCGCCTCACTCGTGGTTGGCCAGGTTCTATCCCCAGCTCCCATGAGGTCCCCAGCCCTGCCAGGAGTGATCCCTGAACACAGAGCCAGGAGTAAATACTGGGCGCAGCTCAGTGTGGCCCAAGAAACAAAATAAATAATAAGCGTCATCTAGGAAGAGGTTTTATGCGTTTTTAATCTAAAGTCTCACCATGAAGGGCTTCAGAGACCCTTGGGTTCGCTGCTGTCGGTTCCAGCTCAAAAATGCCTCCACGATCACATGCTGATGAGGCGCATCTAAGAACACTCGTTCCTAGAGGGAAAACTTAGTTTCAGAGAAAGTAATGAAGTTCCTAGGGAGTTAATGGGTGCCACCAGGATTGCGTGGCATGAAGGACCATCTGGTTTAAAGAAGGACCCAATGGGGCCAGAGAGATAGTACAGCAGGAAGAGCATTTGTTTTGTATGTGTCCGACCTGGGTTTAATCCAGGGCATCCCAGAAAAGTCCTCCTGAGTGAGGAGCCAGGAGTAGCTCCTGAACATCACTGGGTATAGACCCCAAACCAAAATAGGTACATTTTTAAAAAAATTTAAAAGTAGCACTTGCTTTGCAGCACATATATTAAAATTGAAACCATATGGAGAAGATTAGCAAGGTCTCTGTGTGAGATGACATGCAAATTTGTGAAGCATTCTGTATTTAAAATAAATAAATAAAAGTTAAAAAATAAATGTAAAAAGTAAAGATGGCCCAAACCAGCAGATGCTTCCACCAGTTTAGTTACTGCTCCCCCACCCCCACCAGGTGGGATGTGGTAATGGGACCAGGCCAGGCCAGAGGAAAGTGCTGGTCATGATGCCTCTCAGGGGAAGGCTTGTTGAGACCTCTCCTAGATGCCAGGGTCAAAGACTTTTGGTATTTCGTTGGGCTCCGTTTGGGAGAATACTGAGCTGCTCATTTGAATTTACAACAAACTCTGCCCGTGTTTGGGTTCCCAGGGAAAAGACTTTGTTCCCTAGGAAATCAAATCATGGTGGAAATTTCAGGAAAGTTGGTCCTGAAAGTTGGGGTTTAAGACACCTAGGCAGTCTCAGCTTTGAACCTGAGTGATTGGCCAGGAACTCTGGGGGATGATCTGGAGGAGCTTTTCCCAAAACTTTGGCTCCCTGTGGACCCCAGGATATCACAGGGGACAAGAGAAGAATGGCATAAATGGAAGGCGGGGGGCACAACACTAGAATAACGGGCCAGTTAGTAGGACAGGGGCCACAGGAAGCAAACGAGGCCAGCAGGGGCCACGGTGGGAGAAAGTGAAGAAACCTGGCTCTAGGGCGCAGGGGTTTGCCTGGGGGAGATCTTGGTTCAGCCAACGCACTTCCTCTTGACAAATTGTTGGTTCTCTACAGAATCACCGAGCTTCTCTGAACTCACCTAGAAGAATCAGTCCTGGGATTTAGCTCAGCTTTGGGGCACAGCACAAGTCCACGCATTAGCTACAAACAGAGCCACAGGGCAACCGAAGGCCCAGAGGTCTGGAGGAGCTTCCGTTGGAGGCAGGAGGGCAGCTCAGTAACCCAAGGCCACGTGGTCCAGGTGTATTGTCGACTTTCCCTGGAGAAGACAAGGATTGACTTTTTGGTTTAGATGACGCCGAAGAAAGCACCACAGAAGTCTGCAATTATAAAGCAGGAAGATGGTATCCTTGTGCCTTGGAGACAAAATAATATGAGTTTGGTTTCAAAGGGAGGCAGAAAAAGAATGATTTCTAACTCTGGGGCCTAAGCACTTCCAAAACCCACTGGATTTCTGGAGAGAATTGATGAGGGTTATAAAGACTGGGACAAGGTAGAAAGATTTCTTTCTCATTAAGACTTTTGCTGATCATTTTTCTGGCGCTGGAGCAGGGAGGGCATTTGCATTTCATGCGGCCAACCCGGGTTTGATCCCTGGCATCCCACGTGGTCCCCTAGCACTGACAGGCATGATCCCTGAGTGCAGAGTGCAGAGCCAGGAGTAACCCCTCAGCATCGCCAGGTGTGACCCAAAAAGTCAAAATAAATGAGACTTTTGCTGATCAGTTTTATTCCCGGTGCTAAAGGGGCCCACTTTCTGCTTTAGGTAGATCTGTGCAATTGTTGGCCCACGAGAGGTCTTCAAGTGCTGTTTGATTTACACACCAAAGTCTGGTGAATAGATATACAGATGTACTTCAGTTTGAATGAGAAGATCCTTTGGGATAGGTCTCTTGAAGAGACCCTCAGGAGAACATTTAATGTGGTAATTCTATTCACTCAGTAAATCCCCAGATGTTAAGTTAATGAGTATAGTGTCTCATCGGGGAAAAGAGCAGTCCTTGGTTAAAGGTGCCAAGCTGGTAGTTACGGTAATTAGGGGCGGAGAGCTGGGGCGGCTTGTTGTGATGGTTAGAATTCATCCAGTTTGTGGATTCTGAGTACAAAATGCTTGCATTCAAGATCAGTAGTGAGGGACTGGATCAACAGCACAGCGGGGAGGACATTTGCCTTACACACGGACCACCCAGGTTCGATTCCCAACGTCCCCTCCCCGTAGTATGGTCTCCCAAGCACCGCCAGGAGTGATTCCTGAGTGCAGAGCCAGAACCAACCCCTGAGCATCACCGGGTGCGACCCAAAAAGCAATAAATAAGTAAATAAGAAAAATATTTAAAAAAAAAAAAGATCAGTGGTGTGCCCGGAACAGCCACACCTTTGTGTTTGCCCTTTAATTTTCAGAGGACTGTTTCCTTGTTGGCTTAAGAGTTGGATAGGAAATTAAACACCTTCATTGATTATCATATTTCCACCTTTAGTTTCTTAGTTCAGAGTCCTTTCTTTCTCTTTTTTGGTTTTGGGGACACATCCAGCAATACTCAGGGGTTACTCCTGCTCTGGTCTCAGGATTCACTCCTGGCGGTGCTCAGGGGACCATCTGGGATGCCACATTCAGAGCAGAAAGAGAATTTCAGGCAAAGCCACCCCCCTGTGTGTTTGGGGAAGGAGGTGTCGTCTTAGACTATCCCACTAGTACTGACCAGGACATTCCAGATTATTGGTTTAAAACTTGCAACTTATAGATAGAGTCTCTGTTAAAGTCTTGACAGGGCCTGGCATAAGCAACTTCATTTTGAACCTGTGGTTTCCTTCAATTTTTGTTTAATTTTTTTGGAGGGGGAAGCCATCTCCAGTAGAGACGGGATAAGGCGGCCGAGGCCAGTCTCGTGTGTGTGATGTGGAGCCAGGGATCAAACTTAAGGCCGTGCACACACTAGACATGTGCTGTATCACATGCACCATCTCCTGGTCTGTTTCATTTTATTTTATTTGTGGCTGGGGGAGCAGAAGGCCCCAAGCAGGAGGTCCAGGGACCCTATTGGCGAACCAGGCTGATGGGTCAGTGGGAAGGCCTGAGAAGGTGACGCTGCTCAGGTCCTGCAATGTTGGGGCCCCTGGGCCACCCTAGGCATGCTGGAGGCCTCCAGGGCCAGGTCTCAGGGTGCACAGCTGTACCTGGTGGTGTCTGGGGACCCTGTAGTGTCAGGGAACCACCCAAACAGGTCATTCCAGGCATGCGCCCTAACTACCGGACTAGCTCTCAGCCCTCGTTGTTGTCGATTTTCTTAAACACTCTTCGTTTTCCTCTCCCCAAAGCGGCCTTTGTGGGTCTCCAAAGGATGTGCTGTTTGCTTGACCAGAAAAACTATGGGATTAGGAAAACCAGGTTAAAAATCTTTGTGTTCATTTTAGGAACATGCTGGAAATTGATGGGGCCTTCAAGGCCCACATATGCAAAAGCCAGCAAGTACCTGAAGGGTTTCATGCTCCCGAAGCATCTGGTGCCCACCAGTGGTTACAGTGGTGTGTTGACAGGTACTAGAAGCAGGGATGGTGGCCCCCAAAGGGAGTCGAATTTTCACCGCACCGGCTTCAGACAGAACCGCTGGGTTTGGAGTACAAGAAGTGAACACAGTGTCTGAGAATTTATAGAGTCCAGAGTTGTGTCAGCCCTGCCCCAGGAAGGCGATTCTGCTGAGAAAGGAGCGGATTGTTCCTAAACCAGAAGAAAAAGGTATCCCAGAAGACTCGGGGACAGCAAAAACGTCTGGTCCTGGAATAAACTTGGCATAAATAGAAAATAGAAAAAAATAAAACTCTACTTATGGGAAGTTTTAAAAATACTGGTTCACAAAGCGGTCACCCAATTGAAAAGCTACTCCAGCCTTACTGTCCCAATAAAAATGCAGAATGCTGTACCCTACGGTGATTCACTACTAAAAAAAATGCCAAATGCCCTGAACAAACACCATGACCTGCTAGCACCTGTACTGCAAACCATAATGCACAAAAGGAAAAGGAGAGAGAGAGAGAGAGAGAGAGAGAGAGAGAGAGAGAGAAGGTGCCAATTTGCTTCTCTCCATGGCACATTCTGTAAGTTTTACAACTCGTATTGCATTTTATTAATTTTAGTGTATTTGGGTTTCTTTGGTACTTCTGCAGTCATAGTATAACTTATACTGCAGTAACAGTTACCCCAAAAGGAAAACCCTCTAATGGCTTTCTCATCAGATGATTTCTCCCTTGTGCTGCTGTACCCGTAAGGTTGGTGGGGTGCTTCTCCCCACAGTCTTTGCTCTAGGGTTCAAGCTGGCATGACCAGTCAGCTCTGGTCTGCAGAGCACATTGTCACTCACTGTGGCAGAGGGAAAAAGACCTAGAGAAGTGTCTGTTGGCTCTTAAAAATCACTGTCCACACAACTCGTCCCCCAGAGCCATCTTACAGCACACAGCAACAAAGAAGAAAACCGGCTGGAGGGCCCCACAGCTCCTGGGGAATGCTCCAGGTCCCAAACAGAGCCGCTATCACCGGGATGTCCCAGATGGGGTAGGTGCTGTCTCCCTGCCTTTTCCAGATGGAATCCCGGTGACCATGAGCTTCTATAAGCATGGCTCTGGCATGCGGGTACCAGGACATTTTTTCCGAACCTCCCCTCCCCTTTCCTCCCCGCCCCTTCCCTTCTCTCCTCTCCTCTCCTCTCCTCTGCTCTCCCCTGTTCTCCCCTCCTCTCAGCTCCCCCTCCCCTCCCCTCCCCTCCCCTCCCTTCTCCTCCCCTCCCCTCCCCTCCCCTTCCTTCCCCTCCCCCCTCCCCCCTCCCCCCTCCCCTCCCTTCCCCTCCCCTCCCCTTCCCCCCCCCCCCCTCTCTCTCTCTCTCGCTTTCGTTCTCTTTTGTATTTGGACCACCCCAACAGTCAACAGTTACTCCTGCTTTGGTGCCCAGAGCTTCACACCTGGCTAGTCAGGGCACTAGCTCTCAGGAAACCATTGGGTGTCAGGGATTCCAGCATGCAAAGTATGTGCTCCAGCCCTTTAAACTATCTCTCTGGCCCCGAGAAGAATTTTTTAATTCACAAAGAAACTAGTTTTCAAAATTAAGTCGTTGGCCTAGCATTGCATTGCGTCATATCAGAGACTGCATTGTCTTGTGCTATGTGCAGAAGATTCCGTCGATGACAGATCATGCAGGCGCTCCCAGCAGCTGTGCCCTAGAGCCCGGTGGGGAGTAGGGCGCAGCCTCTAGGTTTGTGAAATTACACACACACTGGGGTTTGCACAATGGTGAAATAACCCAATGACACACTTCTCAGATTCTCTCCCTATCAATAAGTCATACATGACTACACCTTTTCG